TGAGGTTGAGAACAATAATTGGAGTAAGAAGTGGAATACAGTATTACTTGTCCCATTGCTGATCAATAGGCCTTTCTGTGATTATGGGAGTGTGCTATACCTGAACCCTCCATTATGCTGGCCACTAAGTCACATATGACTAATGAGAACTTCACTTGAGGTGTGACTACATGTATGAGGAACTGGTTATTAAATTATATTTTATTTTAGCTCACATATACTTAAATAGACAGCTGTGGCTAGTGGAAGCACAGGCCCAGACTCTTTAAGGAATAGTGCTAGTCTACATACAGGTAGCATAAAATAACACTGTTTTAAAAACAGCAGACATTTCCCCCCTTAAACAGTCTATTTTGGACCCTTCCTTTAGCCAAGTATCCTGTGTGGCTACACTTTGCTCTCAGCTACATTACTGCCTGCTCATCTATAATGCTCTTGCCCTCTTTTATTAGTCTGGCTAGTATTTTTACAATGTTTAAAGGAAGGGGTATATTTCCCCCACTGTAGAAAGTATCCTAATTAAGATAGATAAGCCATGCTGCTTTTGTTTATGTCACAATTTTCCATGTAGCTAGAATTAAATGATGCTGTCAAAGGGCAATGCTAGTGTTTGATAGCTTTTGATATTTTTGTCCACATCAGAAGACTAAATAAATGCAGTCAATATGCCCAATTCATAACTCTCTAGTAATTATTCCAATAAAGAGATATTCATGCTACCACGCATCAATATATGAAGAGCCCTAATAAATCCACTCCCAGAAAATAAACCATGTTCAACTAGGGCATTAGAGAGAATATTAGCAAACACCAAGCTCAGAATGTTAATAACCAAACTCTTCAGCACACAATATGGATTTTTAAAACATAAACATTTAATGCGAACTATCAAGAAAAAAGAATCGTATCTTTAAAGGGACTGCATATTATATTTGGAGTGGTTCCTTAGGCAAATAACTCAAATGGCAGATTTAAATAGCACTGACTATTCACAAGAAATCATTCTATAAATGTCTATTGTGTAAAATAAAAACAACTATAAAATGATGATATCAAGAGTTACTGAGTACCCCTTGTTGGCCAACTCTATTTTAAGATATCCAGAAATCCTCACAAGAACCCTAAGAAGTAGATATTATTTTATTCCCATTGTAAAAATGAGGAAACTGTGACTTCAGGAAGCTGTCCAAGGCTATGTATATGGGGTGGGAAGGTTGTGGTAGGTATAAAATTCAGATATGTCTTCAAAAGTCATACATTTTATTTATTACAAATTTAAAAACATATACGTAAATACCCACTATATAATAAGACATAATAAGACAAGTCACTAACAAGACTTGTCATTGACAAAGCAGTGCCAAACCCCTTCTTATTTCAGTCTGAATAATTCCAGCATTCTACATATCTTTCTTGGTAAGTTTCAATTAGTGCAGTATGCTAGATATACTGTATAAACTTTTTACTATTATATGGTTAGCATTTTTACTTGGTAAATCTATTTTTTAAGATTATTTAAGAAACTGAGTAAATGCTTTTGAAATCCTAGTAATTTAAGAAATATTTGTATCACACACAAACACACACGCAAAGACATACATACACATACAATATAAGCTGCTCCAGAAACTCAACATTCTATTTGAAGATCCATTTGCACAAGAAATGTTAACACAGTGAAGGACCTCAGCATCAAATTACATGAACAGGCATTACTTTATCAATGTTTAAGAGGGAAGAAAGCACTTTGAGTTCAGGATAACCAAGACAGATGTATGGAATGGTACGGTATAAATTTTGCCTTGTTGGAACCTTTATTCTCCAGATAAATGAGAAAGGAAAAAAGGAACCATATAAAAAACAAATCCATTTCTCACAATTCTGGATGCTGGGAAGTCCAAAATCAAGGTAATAGCTGATTCAGATCCCCAATGAGGGTCTTCTTTCCAGCTTGCAGATGGCCACCTTTTGGCTGTCTACTCACAAGGTAGAGAAAGAGAGAAAAGAAGCAAGTTTTAGTGGTACTCCCATCATATGAGCTTTGCCTCCTCTAAACCTAATTCCCTCCCAAAGACCTCATCTTCAAATACCATCATGTTGGTGATTAGGACTTCAACATAAGAATTGGGGTGCAGGCACAATTCAATCCACAGAAGGGATGTCATAGCCAAACTTCAGGGAAAAAGAGCTCAATGACTCTTAGTAGGAGAGTGAATAATTCAGCAGAGGAGTAATAAAAGGTAAACATGGAAAGACCTAGAGCATCCAGTTTGGGAAGCTGGTATTACCAGGCTAAGGAGTTACATTGTTACATAACAAATTTGATCAAAACAGTTAATCATATTTTAAGATGAAAGGCAAGAGAGAGATATTTAATATAGAATGACTTGTCCCCATGTGAATGTGCAATTAATTCCCTTAACAATATGGCTTATTTTATAAGAAATGTCATTCAAAAATGGAAAAATTAGTCAAATGAGTATGGCAATAAAAGAATCTTAGAAATCAACTTGAGGATGCAGGAAACAAACTATGTATATCATGGTGCCTCTTGCTCAAGTAAGCACCTAGAAATATATAAAAGCTACAGTATATGGAAATAACTTGTTTGGAGAAGGTGAAAATGGGGGCAATAAACTCAACAGCTATATATATAGCTGCATATTGCTTCTAAATTTTATCAGTTCCATAACTTTTTCTCTTTCCAAGATATTTTTCATTTGATTTTCACATACATGTTATAGTATTTGTAACATTATATTTTCAGGTGTAGATTACTAACAAACAATGGTGGGTAGAAGTATTTCTCTAAGTTTTGTGCTACCTTATTTAGAAATTACGTAAATGTTCATTTTCAGGTATAGAGCTATTACCTAAATTTAAACACAAGTAATAATTTTGGCACCAATCATTTTAGTCACTCTATTATTCCAAATACTTTTTCAACTTAGAAATTGTACCCACTGTCTCTACCTCCTGTTTAGGAAGATTAGTAGGATCTCCATTATCCATAAGATGAATGGTCATTGCTATGCATAGATAATGTTCATGACTGTTTTTGATAGCTTTTCTTGAATCAATTTTTTCCTTTTTCCCCATCCCCACGTGCTCTTTTTTTCATTTTCATCCCTTTCCCCTTCCCTTCCTCTATTCCTTTCTATCTATTAATAAACTAAGGATATTACATATGCCATATGCCTAAGAGTAGTAGTATTAATAGATTCTGTCTTTTGGAAGGATTAATGTATAATCAGATTACTGTTAAGATATAGGAGACTGTCAATCTTACTGGATTTCCTTTTGCTTAATCAGTTTTACCTACTTCTCATATTTTACTTTACTTCAATAACTTATGAAGGCAAAAGAGAGCACTTTGGGGTTGGGTTGGGTGTAGAGAAGGGCACAGAGGCCTTCTCATAGAACCAGCATCAATGTCCTTTAGGAAACCCAGTGTGGTTCATTACAGTGGTTGGTTACAAAGATTTAGCAGATAACCTACAAGAGAAACAGAGCAGCGTCAATCTGGGAAGCTGTTAAAAGGGTATACTAATAGATTTACAAATGTTGGGGTAAGGAGAGTGTAGCCAACAAAAAAAATAAAACACAGTAGTACTCAATTCCTAACAGCCACGGAGAGGTGAAAGAACTTTCTTATGCAGTATTTTTCTCTAGTTTCCATGGCATGTCTTACTTATCTTATAGATCCCTACATGTCAGCATATCTAAAGTTAAGAACTAATCACCTTTCCTTACACACCAGCATTTTCTTGTGCATTATCTGTATACACCATGGGAAAAAAAAGACACGATCCATAGAGTAGTTGGTGCATACCTGAAATAATGTTTTTCAGTCTACTTTTAATGGAAATTAAGAATACGATACTTAATAAAAATAAATTTATATTGTTAGAAATTCTGAAATTGTATTTCCTACTTTTTTACTTCATGAACTGTTGAGTGATTTTGTTTGTGATAATGACGATTTAGGATCTTGGCAAAATAAAGTACAAAAAGTTAAATAACTGTATTTTCCTCTAGTTATTTTTTATTTGTGCTATTCACTGAAAATCCAAGCTCAGTTAAGCAGGGTTTTCGTATGCTCCTTCTGTTGGTTTACTTGTTCCAATAGTTTTGAGACTTCAGTGAACCTAACAATTGTCTGGGACCTGTTTAAAAATATTCTTGCTACTCCCTCTCCCTGCTATGAGATTCTGCCATCAATATCTTATCCTTTATTTACTTTACAATAGCCCAGTTATTTGTTATCTCAACTATTTCTTAAATTGAGATCCTTAAAAACAAGGAATGTGAATCATTCAATAAGTTGAATCCATATATCCTCAAATATTTTAGAACTTACTGAATATTCAAAGTTATGGAGTGAATAGGGCATATTTTGAGCTTCCTAGGTTTTTGTGGAGTTGCAAACAATTTGCAAGTGGAGTCCTGGCTGTTCACAAATTGGGAATTGCCCGTGTTCTTTTGAGAGCTACCAGTTCCCACTTGAAGGTCTCATGACAGGTGCTCAGCTCAAGTCTGTTGAATGTTTCATGAAGCTTAGAGTGGGTTAAACCGCTTCATTTTAAATGAAATATAGTTAGAGCTTTTCAACTTGCCCCACTTCTCTGTCCCAGAACTTAAATCTATTATTACTTGCTTTGAGATTGCCATGGAAAGAGAAAGGTAAACGACTGGTGGATGCTCCAGAGAGCAGGGTGAGGCCGGCAGGTTCCTCAGCGCACAGGCCTGCACGGAAGTGCCCTGGCAGAACCCAGCTGAGGATACATGCTTTTCCCGCGCTGCCACAGGCTGAGTGGCAAAGCGCTCCCCGGGGGCATTGTGAAGGAGCGGCCCGGTTATTGCAGGCCCAGGGGAGAGCTCCACCACAGGAGACAAGACACGCCTCAGACCGGGCAAATTCCCGGCCTCCTGTGGCCCCAAGCCAGCAGCCGCCGCCTGCCATCTCGTCGCCTCCTCCGCTGTTGCCCTGGCCACCTCGCCAGCCCCGAACTCGCCCGCGCCTGAGCGCGTGGTCCCTCGGCGCTGGGACGCCAGCGAGGTTGGGACCGATGTGGCGCATGCGTGGTGGCACCACCAGACACGGGAGTTGCGGCGGCAGGGGCAGCGGCGGGGCCAGCCGCGGGCAGGGCCGACCAGGCCGGGCTCGTGGGGTTGGCAGTGGCAGCAGCTGCGGCGTGGGCTGGCGAGGCCGTGCGGGCGGCGCCCAGCAACAGCTGGAGGAGCGGTTCGCCGACCTGGCGGCGAGCCATTTGGAGGCCCTTCGCGCGCGAGACGAGCGGGACCGGCAAAACGCGCGGCTGCGTGAGGAGAACGCCCGACTGCGGCTTGAAAACCGGCGGCTGAAGCGCGAAAACCGCAGCCTCTTCCGTCAGGCCTTGCGGCTCCCCGGCGAGGGCAGCGACGGAGCGCCCGCGGAGGCGGCGGCGGCGGGGGAGGCGGTGGCGGCGGCGGCGGCGACGGGGACCCCAGGCTCTGAGGGGACCGGCACAAACCCGAGGGCGAGAGGCGGCGGCCCCGATGGCGAGCTGGGCAGCCCCAAAGCCCTGCGGGCCCGCCTTGAGAATTTGGAGGCCATGTACCGCAGGGCCCTGCTGCAGCTGCACCTGGAGCAGCAGGGGCCACGCCTGCGTGGAGACCAGGAGGAGCTGCCTCTGCATGAACCCGAACCCGGCCTCAAAGCCTGGGACCTGGAGCCCCCCGAGCACTGGCTGTAGATGGAGGCCGAAGCCGGAGAGGGGCGGGGCCTCACGCGGGCCCCTCCCCCTGGGCTCCCGGCTCCCCCCCAACCTAGCGCCCTCCCTGGGTTGCGCTAGGCCCCGGAAACTGGCCTGCTGAGCTGGTGTGCGGGACTCTTCACGGAGGCTGAGAAGGGTGCAGCCCTCTGGAGGAGACCCCACGAGTACAGAGCATCTGCCTCTTCCCCTGCTGGTGTCTGTGGAGACAGGCCTAATGACGGGAAGACGGGTCTTAAAACAGGAAGAAATGTGTCAGGCAACATGTCCTAATGCCTGAACTTTTGTGGGTGTTGTAAGGAGCTGTTATAATTTTTTTCTCTATTTTGGGTTTTTGAGGGATGAATAATGCCTTTTGAGTTGGTTGTGTTTTGTTGTTCTTTCTAAAATCCCCTGAAGCCTCTAGCCATAATCTGTTCTGTGGCCAACATTCTAAGTATCGTTTTTATAAATTGATATTACTTGGATTTCTTATAAAGTACCACCCTTTTTATTAAAAAAAGGTATTATTTATAACTTAGGAACTCAGCCTGCCCCTGGCTCTAGTCCTTATACATCTAATATATATTGATTTGTTTACCCCCTACCCAGGGATTTTTAAAGTTCTGCCTATAAGTGATCCTTTGAATTGGTAAATAAATCTGGTGCATTAAATGTAACCTAAAAAATCCCACGACTATTATTTAAAGTTTGTTAAATGTTTACATGTTTCTTTAAGAAATATGTCACATGTTTTAATATCTAACTTCGGTTATCTTTTGCAAGCTATCTTTTAGTCATGTATAACCGAGCATTTTAAATAATCTGAAGATAGTGTAAACACTTCATTATTTTTAGTACATTGATATTAGAGTATCACAGCTACTTCTCCTAATTTTGACTGCTTAAGAATTTTAAAGAAATTATGAATTATCTGTATATCAGAAGCCCTAAAACATGATTAAAGTCTCAACTGTGATTTCAATGGCAAAAAGTCATTAATTCTAACAGCAAATGTTCTAAAATCACTTCAGTGTAATTTGTTAATGAATAACACTTTTGCTTACTGAGTAGTGAAGAGGTTACCATTGTACCTGATAAAAATCATGGGTGTAAGAGAGTGTATAAGTGCTGGAAAACACTTATACAGATCAAGAAAAAGAGAAACCATGAGAAGAATTTTTATTATAGCTCAAAAAAAAAATCATGACTTCGAGTTTTTATTTTATTTGTGGCATGCTCCACAAGTTTCAAATATATAGCATATATTACCAAACAAGGTACTAAGAAAAACAGTTTTGTGAGTTTTGTAGTCCTGGGTTTTGAAGACACTTTGTGCATTTTTTTTAAGGTAGTTGATATTTACCATATTTTACCATACATAATGCGCACCCATGTTTTTGGCCCAAACTTTCAGGAAAAAAAATCTTTTAATTTTTTAATTCAATTTATTTATATTTAGATACTTGTTTTTTGTATTATAAAGGAATTTTAGCATTTATTTTTGAACATATAGTACAAGAAATTTTATGTAACATGTAATTACAAAATATAAGAACAGATACAAGGTACAAGAAATTTTATGTACTGGTAACAAATTAGTACTACCCATGTATACTGTGCATCCTTATTTTTCCCTCAAAAGTTTGGGCAAAAAAGTGCGCATTATACATGGAAAAATACAGGTAGTTGTGAATATTAAATTCTTCCCCTTTGACAGAAATATAAGAAGAAACAGTGTGAATAGGTAGATAAAACATATTTCTCTCCCCTTCAGTTCATTTTCTAATTATGCAAGAAACTAAATATTTTTAGGTGTCAGTGGGAATTGAAGAAAGGGAAAAAGCATATCAGCCCTACTGCTTCTTAAGTTTGGGGTTTAGTTAATCTCTCGTCATTAATGAACATAATCTACCTAAAAATGTTATACAAATTTTAGTGAGATGGTTGTGTGCAAAATGCCTGCTTCAAAATAAGTGTGCTATCAGTGAGAATTACAATCCAAAATGTGAAAGTCATGAATGAATATTTTTCTGACACTTGCCTTTGCCTTCTGTATTTTGGTCCTTTATGACTTTATGAGTATTAGCAGAGAAGTGTTGACATTTTTTTACTTGTTTATTTACTAATAAAGCAAACACATAAAGCCCTAAGGGAATAACATAATAAAAGTTAAAAAGTACTGCCCACTGTGGTAAAATTGGGAATACTGAACAAAAAATAAAAATGTTTAGTTTATATAGTTTTTAAACATATTTTGTCTTAAAACCATGTGCAATACAAGTATGTAATGAGGCACACACAAAATAAGGACTATTTTTTAGCTTAATTCCTGAAAACTTAAAAATTCTTAAATCAGAATGCCCCATATGATGGGTTAAGGCTAATTGTATTTCAGCTTTGTTGAAGTTACTTATTGATAATTGATAAATTATCATGAAATAATAAAAAGTTTTGTTATATTAAAGTATAGACCTGTTTAAGAAATGGGTAATACTGGTTTTAGAAAAGTTTGATCTGGGATCTTGTTTAAAATCAACTAAACCTGCAGATCATCATACCTGTTAAAATAACATTTCATTTTCATAATTTTGGATTTGTTGTATAATGAAAAAAGGGCTTATAAGTTGTAGAAATGAGCAACAAAAATGTGTCAGTGAGGAGAATTGGTATTTTTTTAATCAGCAACTTTTTTTGCATGGCTACTACTCACAAAAATATACTTTAATCTGTTTTTAATGAAATTAAGATATAAGTCAAAGCAATATAAAATGAGTACTTATGTAGGTTATAGAACACATTTTTCTTGCTAAACTTCTTGAACACTATAAATATTAAAGATTACCTGTAAACAATTTATCTGTTGTTTAAATAGTCTAAGATTTAGGTTTGCCAATTTATGAGTAGTGACAGGATGAAATAATACTAAATTAATAAACTGAATTATCACTGTATATTAAGTAATTATTAGCACCATGATTTTGATTCTAGTCCAAAATACTATCTTCTGTTTTGCTACAAAGAAGAGATTTTTACTTAGAATTTGTCACAAAATCTTCATGGAATGATGAAATTTAATATTTCTGTTTAGTGATTAATAGATCAATTATAAATTCTATTCTACTATAAACTTTTTTTGATATATATCTTATCTACAGACAATATTTAAACAATGCAAACATGAACCAAAAAACAAAACAAAACACCACCACTTAGGTAATAACCACCTCTGACTTTGTAAGGCTTAATCATATTCCAATTTCAAATTATAAAGTATATACTCAGATTAACATCTCTCAATGATCAGAATTAAACTACACTGTGTTTAGTCCATAGCAGATTTTGCTTATTATTAAGTTCATGTTCAGAATCTACTTATCAGAATCATCTTTGCATATTTCATGATTATTTAGTAGGGAGTCCTTTTCTAATTCTAAACTGTCAGACATCTTTTGTACTTTGAGACAATTGAGGAAGGACAACAGTGAGTTTGTTCAGCGCTTGATTCTTACTTGAATAAGTAGCATTTCTTTTATTTTTATCTTTTTATTGTTCAAGTACAGTTGTCTTCATTTTCCCCCTCTCAGCTCTCCCCACCCCCATTCATCCCCACCTCCCACCCTTGATACTAACACCCTTTGGCTTTGTCCACATGTCCTTTATACAGTATTCTGTTCTAAAAATTCATTTGTCCAAGGGAGAAACTTGAAAAATCTGTATCTCAGCAATTTTCTACTGGTGTGCCACAGGAATTTTTAAAATGTGTAATACCTGACTAGTCAGGGGCACTGACCTCTTTTCCCTTAGATTGTCAAATAAAAAAATGACAACAGCCAACACAAAAATAGTTGTCTGGTGTGAATGAATCAAAATTATGCCTATTTATTTTGTCAGATTGGCAAAAAATATATTTCTTCATTAATATATTGCCTCAGGATTTTAATAATTGGTTTATGTGTGCCATGAGATGAAAAAGGTTGAAAACCGCTGATCTATCTTATATCCTATACTTAGGACTAATAAATGTGTCCCTTGGCCTTTCATTTTTCCAGGTCTCTTCACTTTATCTTTGGCTTTATCATTGTAAATATATAATGTATTTTATATTTTAAACTTAATGGATCTGCCTTTATTATGGTGAAGACTGTGTTGCTAATAACCAAGAAACCCAAGGCTATTAAAAACAATTATGATTTTTAAAAATCTAGTAAAATTCCTGATTCAGGGGCTTCTGGGTGTCAGGAAGGTCTGTTCCATATGGTCATTCAGGGTCTCAGATTCTTTTTGTCATGTTCCTCTGCCTTGCCCTGTGTCATTGTTTTGTCTGCATGGTAAAATAATTTACTTCCAGAACCAGGTCTCAGCATTGGGGGAAGGTAAAAAGAGGCCTAGCTAAATCTGAAAATAATCATAAATTTTCCTGGTCACATTCTATTGGCAAAACTTCATCACATGTCCCATTTAATTTCAAAGGAGTCTAAGAAATGTAGTCAAGCCGTGGGGTCTTATGCTGAGCTTTAATTACTTTATTACTATGGAATAATAGGAGAACTCATTTTGATGGACTACCATCTTAATGGAGGTGGGCCTTTCCTTAAATTTTGTAATGAATTTATGAGTCCTGGTACAGCACTTCAGACTACATAACTTAAAATAAAAACATAATGTGATTGCTTTATAGTTTAAAAAAGTCTGATGTTTTTATTCCCTTTGATAGTATCCTTCTGAGTATAAAACATAAAATTTTGCTTGAAATAAGCAAGAAAATATAGCTATTACCTTTAACATAGGAAATCTCTATAAACTATGAACCATCTCTGAGAGTATGCATCATAATAGATACGGTTTTAAGACTCTATACTTGGTAAACGTTCTATTTCATATGTAAATATATGTATATAAATCTTGAGGGAGATATATTTTCTGTTCATCCTTTTTCTTATTTACTAGGATTCTACAATTTTTAGAGCTGAAAGAGACCTTAAAGGGTTTTAGCCAGCATCCTTCAGACTTTGTGCCAACAACCTAACAGCTTTCACAGAGAGCCACATCTATATAACACGTAATAACTTAGAATATGCTCATCACAACCCTCGGTAGTATTAGTCCCTCCTGTTTATGAATGAGGAAACTGATGTACAAAGAAATTGAATAGCTTCCAGTTTCAAAATTTATTTAAAAACTTTTGAAATAGAGATAGAATTGACATGACATATCAACTTTAGAACTGATAATGATTTAATATATGTATATATTGCAAACTGATTACCACAATAAGTTAACATTCATCACCGACAGATAGTTACATTTTTTCTTGTGATGAGAACTTTTAAAATTTACTTTATCAGCAACTTTCAAATATACGATACAGCATCGTTAACTATAGTCACAGTGCTGCACATTATATTGACAGGACTTATGCAAATAATTTATTTCTGATTTTAATACAAATACAAATTCTTCTGGCTTTCTCTATTAAGCATGGTGTGATTTCTCATCGTGCAGTCAAATTTTGCAGTCTTTTTCATGGCTATCATTATACTTATTCCATGAAAAACATGTTTTTAAGTATTTGTGTTGTAGAAAAGTTTATATAGCAATTGAGTTATGTATTCCTTTAAATTTTGGTAATTTTCACATGTGGGACTTGGAGATAGATAGATAAATTATTTTGGGGGGACAGAGAAGATACTTGAAAATTTTGTCTTCTTTGTTGATGGTAATGTTGTTCTCTACAAACTTCACCCAAAGTAACTGAAAGAAAGATTCATACTCCTTCATCAGGAGAGAGGTTCTCCCCCTATCTTGCTGGACACAGAAAGGAAGCATATAGCCCCATTACCCTGGCAGCTATCATGTAATTACAAGAATGGCAGAGAGCTGGAAGAAAACTTATTTCCTGATAACATCACTGCAGTTCTGTTTGTCATGCTTGGAGTCCGTCCTGCCTTTGGTCTTCTATTTATGTGAGAAAATGCATTTCCTTATTGTTTAAACAAGTTTGAATTAGAGAATTTTCTTAGAGGGAGTCAATTTGGAATAATACGATCACTAGAATGACACATCAAAATATGAGTGTCTTGTAAAAACAATGTTGAGGTAAAGACAAGGGATACAAAGAACATAAATAGACAAAAATATGATATCTATGTGTATATTGAGAACTCCTATAAATCAAACAAGAGAAAGAAAAGCATCTTAGTTCAGAAAAAGGCAAAACACCATAATATAATACTAAGGTGTTCTCTTACATTTCATAACTTAAATAATCAGCATTTTCCTAATGGCTGGAGGAAAAAAAGATAGAAATTAGAACATCTTCTCCAATGGTCTTTAAATGGTTATGTCATCCCATAATTTTTTTGCCTCAAAAATAACTTTCAGAGTTTTTCCTTTATCTTCATAATTTTGGACAGAGAGTATCTAAAAACCTTTGGGTTTTATTTCCTGTAAGGTGAGCACTGAGGAATGCAAGTTTATTTCAGTTCAGAGGGTAAATTGGTGTATGTAGTATTGGCCAATATTCTCTAAAGCAGGGCATGAAGGTATGCTGAAAGCAGTTAAAAAAATCTCAGGTTTCCTATTTACATTTTTTTATCTCATTCTTTTAAAATTTATTTTTTGATGTACTAAAATTTTCTTGATGTATAAAATGATATACAAATTTTACCTACTCAAAAATGTTTTATAGATCCTGGTAGAGCATAAAAGAATAGTGCACTAGGAGTGAGATAGCTCAGTTGCAACGTTTGTCATTTATTAGTTTTGGAACTTAAGAATATTACTTAATTTCTTTAACATGAAATTTATTTAAATTTAGAAATTAAGTAATTGAATATATACAAATATGTATTGTAATGAGGTTTGTTATGAGATTCAAATTAGATATTATGTCTGAACTAATACAAACCAAAATAAGAAAGTCATTATTTCTGAAGGATAATTTATTTTCATGTTCCTTGGGTTTTAGGTCAAAAGGAATTAGTCATTAAGATTATTTCAGATTTTAAAAGTTTGTTTTGTCTGCTGAACTGCTTCTTGAGGCTGAGAATTAATTTCTCAAAATGTTTTGGTATATATCTCTTTGCTTGCTTGGCCTTTTATGTATTTCAAATGAGAATTCAAAGCAGGTTTGTATCCATCAAGTATCATAAGAAATCTACCAAATCTACCAATTCAACCCGAAAATCCTAAAGGTTGTATTACTGAATCTATGTGCTTCACAAAATTTTCTGAGAAGAGTAAGAACACTTTTGTGCTTTTAATAAAGCACATCAGTACTACTAATAATTCTAAGACATCAAAATATCTAACTGTGAAGTTGATTATGTACTCAAACAGAAAGCTATAATCAAAAGGTTTCTAAATGCACTCTCCTTCCACAGTATTTTTTTCATTGATGGAGATGCTGAATTTCTTCACAAAGATGCAAAATAATTGGATCCGAAGACTCCCTTTAACTGAAAATAAATTTGCACACGTTTTACTAAACCAACATATTACTGATGAAACACATTCATATGAATTATTTTTCTGAAACGGAGTCAGCAACCTAAAAAGACAGTCACATGAAAACAAAATGTCCAGATGTAACTCCCAGATGTCAGTCATTGCCAGGTCCACACTCTCCATCCTTCTCCACCCTACTTTCTATTTACCATATTACTGACATCCCTTGGTTTTTGGGTTACAGGGCAAGGTAGGCTTCTGGTTGGATTTGGTCATTAAGAAATACTAGCAGAAACCAGAAAGAGGAAGTAGTGTTAGGTCTGGGTTTGTTACATCTTTCTATCAAAGATCACAGCTCCTGTAAGTTTGTTTTCTTTACAGAGCCCTCTGTCTCCAGGTTCCCCACTGTCAGTGTGCCATCTATTTCTTGTGAGGACACATACTGATTCAAATATAAAGTGAATACTAATATTGGCATTGGTATGCTTTAATTTTTATTATGCATTTTCAAGATCCTATTGAGCAAAGGGATATACTACATATCAAAATTTGATAGTCAATTGAGATTGATATTTTCTTGATTTAATGAGTTCAAAATATATATATATGTAAATTAGGTTTTGACAAGTAGGAAGACACTAAATATATATTACTTTTTATATGTTGTTTCTTAAAAATTGTATCTTAAGTGATTCAATACCAACACATTTATTATTTTAATAACGCTTATGCGTTATTAAATGGTCAAAATCTCTGACCATTGGCAACACAACCTATGAGATCATTTCTTCCCTTGAAGTGTTTAAAATCCAATGCAGACATATACTGTACGATAGGAAATCAAAAAGAAAATATTAACTCCACAAACTAGAAAGGACAGGATTCACATCAAGTATTTGAACAGATTCTTAAGAAACATAGGATTAATGTTGCAGCGAGCAATGTGTTCTGGGGAGAGCAGGGCTCCTGGATCTGAGGGTTACTGCCTGGAGCCAGCTGAGGAGGGAGTGGGGCTCTGAATCCTGCAGAGCCTGTTCCAGGGTTGTCATGAATGCGGGGAATAAATACGATCATTCCAAACACCTCTCTGTTTGCTAGGAGAGGGGCCATGGCTCTTCCCTCTAGTGGAGAAGGTCCTGAGTCCCTTTTTCCAAAGGCTTTTATTGAAAGGGTTATCAGTGGGGCTAGGTAATAGGTATGTGCAGCTTATCTCATTATATCAGTATGTTAATGTTTACAGAGAATAGATGAGGTTTTGAAGAAAACAAATGGCAGGAACACACCAATTTACATGGGTCCAAGAGGAGACTAGTAAACATGAGAGCATACACTTGAGAGTACCAAAGTGTTTAGGGTTAGGGTTTGTGAATAATGTACATTTCCTTCCCAGCATGAGCTGGTTATCATAGCTTTTGGGGGAGAAACAAAGCCTGTTTAAAGAATTTACTTCTAGGCCTGATTGCCTCTGAGAACTGCCAGATCCAGTTTAGGACTGTCTCCAGTATTGTTTGGAGCCTGAGCCAGGCAGGAGGAGGGAGCCGCCAAGAGACAAGGAGACTTTTTTCAGATAGAATGAGGACACCGGTCATGTCCAAGCTGAGCTGAGGAGTGCGGGCCTTTTTGCTCTTTCTCTGTGCCCCCAGAATCTTTAACCTGCTGCCCATATCTGCTGTGTCTAGCTTAGGTCATCCCCCCTATTGAGGAATCTTAATGGTCATTGACTACCAACAATCACAGGGCCAAGCAGGGTGTTGTGAGGAGGGCAGGGCCTGCACCCCTGCCAGGGAGACAGTTTTGTCTCCTCAGTGGCCTGTTTTTCCAAGGCCTCCTTGATTATTTCCAGCCTTGGGGCCCTCTTGAGTGTTGGTGGGACTACAGTTCCTGAAACCAGACAGGGTGTTTCCCAACAGATTAAATAGATGGATCTCGTGGGATGATTATTCGAGAGTAAGGGAACATAAACAAAAGGGTATGAATAGGGATGTATAAGAAACACTCCAGGAATCAAGAAAATAGTATGACTGAAGTAAAAGGTATATAGAATTAT